ACTACAATTTTGCTTTCCTCTACAAAGTTCATTCGTTTCAACATGGGCTTCTTGTGGGTCTTACATTTGGTGACTGGTTAGCAGTGTGTTGGCCATCTTTGGTTTACAAAGGATGTCTTAACCATGAACTATCAAAGGGGCTAAAATCAACTTTCTTAAAATTCTAGAATTTTTCTTTTCTTCAATCTTTTATCTATATCACTGCACATGAATTAGAACCGCACATCACAAAATTGCACAGGGATTACAAATATTACATCCAGTCTGCATAAAATCGAATTCCACTACTGACCAGATCACAAAATGGCTGCACTCTCTAACCTAAAACTAATTTGCATATTGTACACATGTAGGACAATTTAACTTGAAGTCACAACAATGCATGCAAGTTTGATTTTTTTAAACAAGTTTTATAATTTGTTCATGCTACCTAGATTCAAGAGAGCTTTTTGAACATCTGCAATACCTCACCTCTTGTTAGTTAAGAATTCTAGTGCATGCATATGGTGTATACAGGTAAGTAAACATGCATTTTTTTCACATTCTAAAACTATGGCAGTTTAGGCCATATTGTGCTGCCTGCATTTTCTCTGCAATGCAGTGTGTCTCTAACGTTTTCAATCCCGTATTAATAGGTGGCATTTACACATAACACCTAGATAGCAGCAAAGCTAATACAGCTTGTGATTAAAAATGTTTAAAAATAGTTAATAAATCAGATTATCTTGAGGTATTATTTCTTGCAAGTCAAAATGGAGAGCAAAAAAATCAACCCTAATTTTTAGTTTTATGTATACACTGAAAATAGCAACAATAAAAATAAGCATTTGTAGCAGACATATTCCATCTTCACTAGTATTTTGCTACCTTTGGTAAATTACTGGGGCAGATCTTGTAGTTAAAAACCCACGTTTAGAAATAAGTGCACGCTTCACCCACTATATAGCAGCAGACTGTTTGCCCCTACGCAAAACATTCTCATATCTAATTTTAACTTTACATATAAAAATAACTTGGAGAAAATACAAAAAAACATTTTATTTTAACATGAAAATATCACAAAAATTAGTAAGCCTGAGATGTAGGGTTTTGGTGAAAAACAAGAGGCTTGTAGTGTTTTGGCTGCTGATAAAGATGCATGTATTGGTAGCTGGGTGAGAGCAGAAGAATGCACTTATTTCTTCTGCGTGTCCGTATCTTCCGACGTACGCCACATGCACCCTTCCTTTCCTTGTTACACAGGCCGGTTCTGCTAGTTAGTTAGTTCCAGCGGAAGTGGATCTGACGTGGGCGATCAGCACCTTCCTTGACCAATGGCTTGTGGAACTCACGTCCGGCACGAGAGTGGATATTTGCCCAACAAAACTCACAGTAATACTGCAGGCAAGTGACATTGGCACAGAAAAAGGGAGCAAATTTCCCACCACAACGTGCGCCTTGGCACTCATCACACATCTGGTCATCTAGCACATATGGCTTCACCTCCACCTAGGAACAGAGGGAGAGAGAAAGGTCTCACTGAGTCTGTGCTGGAAGACGTTTGGCAACAACTTAAAATGTTTGGTGCTTTGGAGGAAAGGGCAGTGCTGAGAGAAAAGGAGAAAGGAGGCGGCTTCTCTTGGGAACGGCCGGAGAAGAGGAAGAACGGGATGGAAAGCATCTGGCCCAGGGCAAGCCTGTGGTCTGGCCCCAGAGCGCGGTGGGACACCCACGCAGGCATCTTGGTGCTCCAACACATAGCCCATGAACGACGTGATGAAATATCAAATATGCCCATGGCGAAGAAAGGGTTCCCCACCCCAGGGCAGGTTAAAATTTTGTTCCTGCATCTTTTCATGTGATTTTTTCTTTTCCTTTTGGGTCATATCTGGCAATGCTCAGGGGTTACTCCTGGCTCTGCAATCAGGAATTACTCCTGGAGGTACTCAGGGGACCATATGGGAATCGAACCTGGGTCAGCCACATGCAAGGCAAATACCCTACTCGCTGTGCTCTCGCTCCAGCCCCTCATGTTATGTTTTATGCTCCTAATTAACTGTGTGATTAAATGAATATTTACTTTGGTGATTTTATTTTAAAACATACAGTTCATGTCAAAGGACTGTAATCTTTATCATATCTTCAGAAGACAGAAAACTCTTCAAAACTACAAAAATAGAAAAGAAAAGATTGCATTTTTTTAGGGAAACGACCCTCGCCTTTCTTGAAGCAAACATCTCGACAACATCTGTGTGTTGGTGGGGACTGTAGCTCGGTGGGACAGCACTTGCCTTGCAAGTACAAAGCCCAGGGTTGGCCAACGAAACAAAATGAAGAAAGAAACTCCACTTCACCCCAATCCTAAAACGCCCCTGTGCATTTTAGAAGCTGGTATGACTATGAATGGTGAACAGGCAAAGGGACATCCAGTTGGCATGGGAGACACTTTTCCTTCACTCCAACCCCACACTGAGAGGACATCGCCCCCACGACCACTGACCACAGCAGGGCTTCCCAACTGCAGAGGAGAGCCAGGCTCTGCTTTCAACTGGGATGGGCAATCCAGAACTGCAGGGAATCCTATTAAGGGCATGCCTGGACTGCTGAAAATGTCTAAAACAGGAATCAAAGTTCACCGCATGGGCCCGATTCAGTATTCAGTAGAAAACCTTAGGCTCAAGTCACCTGTGTGCTAAGCTGTGGTTTTTTTTCTTTTTTATTTCTTTTGGGGGAGAAACACACCTGTCAGCTTAGCTCTGTGCTAAGATGCTGCTCATGGCAAGGGAGACCAATCAGTGCCAGTGATGACCAGACCTGGGGTTCTTGGATGCAAAACACTCTAGCCTTTTGGTCACCTCCTGCTCCCTATGTGACCCTTCACCTCAGTTTCCAACATCTATGAATGAAAAGAACAGACCCTGCTTCCTACAATGGTGAGGATTGGACATGCAAGTAAAGCACTGTCTCTTCAGTGCTTGGCACTGGCAAGTCTCCTGAAATTAGCCTTGGCTCCAGGTTCTATTAGCTAATTTCTTGCTTTTAAAAACTATGAACTAAACCTTTGTCTGACTGAATAGCACCCAACCATTAAAGATATTAGTCTTTCCTAAGAAGAGAGAAAATCGAGAGCTTAGTCTGAGAAAAGGGAGCATTTGGTCAAAGTGAAAAATAATGAAAAATAATGAAAACACAAGTTTTATTCCATTGAAATAGTTGCATGTATAGAAAAAACAGAAAATGAATATATAAAGGATATTTCCTGTGATGTTTTTGTAACAACAACAAACTATTTGTCACTGTCCTCCCGTTGTTCATCGATTTGCTCTAGCAGGCCCAGTAATGTCTTCATTGTGACAATTATTACTGTGTTTGGCATATTGAATACGTCACGGGGAGCTTGCCAGGCTTTGCTGTGCAGGCGAGATACTCTCGGTAGCTTGCTGGGCTCTCTGAGAGGGGCGGAGGAATTGAACCCAGCTCAGCCGGGCTGGCTGCACTCAAGGCAAAATGCCCTACCCGCTGTGCTATCGCTCCAGCCCAACAGCAAACTATAAAGTAAAGGCCCTCCCGTTGATCATCGATTTGCTCGAGCGGGCCCAGTAACGTCTCCATTGGAGACTTTGTTGTTACTGTGTCTGGCATATCGAAGACTCTCGGTAGCTTGCCGGGCTCTCCGAGAGGGGGGGAGGAATCGAACTCTGGTCGGCCATGTTGGCTGCGTGCAAGGCAAACGCCCTACCCGCTGTGCTATCGCTCCAGCCCAACAACAAACTATAGTAAACTAAAAGTTTATGGAGAGGATAACTGTAAAACATGCCTTTGATAGAAAGATACTGGAATAATGTTTCTATTTGATTGCACTGATTAGGGTAGTACAATTTGCATTTTACGTATACTGGAACATCTTGCCTTTCTGATATATTTTGCATGTTTTCTTGCGAGATTTTCTTTTTTACCTTATGGATTCTATCTTGATTGCCAAGCTCTTAACTTTTTGTTTATCACAGTTTTCAAGGAGCACTGCTTTAGCCCAGGGAACATGAGAATGACTGGCCTTATCCCTCTGATACTTGGCTTGGTGGGTAGAGGGGCAGCGCTGCTCTGATCAACACCCCTCCCCATCCTTGCAGGCTGGCGCAAAACAGGAAGTCTAAACAGAGGAACAGATATTTATATGAGACTTCTGGATTTCTTTCTCAAGGTTATTTCTTGCCTCTACCATAAGATGTTAAGTAAATTGTAGATGCTTTTACTCTGTTTAGGGTTCTGTTGCATCTCACAAAATGCCAAGCTTCTCAGGAAATATGCAATTTTAATAAAACTGCTGGAAAAGTGAAAGGACTATGCGTTAATCCAGGCCATCAAGTCTGCCGGAGGGGAAAGGGTGTTGCCCCATTCGCCCTCTCTTCTCTGGAAAGAAGGATGGCGGCCGCATGGGAGCCTTGTGGACAGCAGGTATGAGCCGGGGGTGTGGGGGCGACTAAAACCTCATGGGAGGGGGGGCGTTCCGGTCCGTCCTTCACGCCCTACCGAGGTCACCAGTTGTCCCCCACGAGCGGCTCTCCAGCACGGCCACAGCCCCAGAAGCACAAGGGCTTAATGCAGAACCCAGCAGCTTGGAGCAGAAAAGTGAAAGGACTATGCGTTAATCCAGGCAATCATTTCTGCCCAGAGGGGAAAGGGTGTTGCTCCCTTCCGCCCTCCTCCCTCTGGAAAGAAAGATGGCGGCCACATGGGAGCCTTGTGGACAGCAGGTATGAGCCGGGGGTGTGGGGGCGACTAAAACCTCATGGGAAGGGGGGCGTTCCGGTCCATCCTTCACGCCCTACCGAGGTCACCAGTCACCCCCCACGAGCGGCTCTCCAGCACAGCCACGGCCCCAGAAGCACAAGGACTTAATGCAGAACCCAGCAGCTTGGAGCAGAAAAGTGAACGGACTATGCATTGACCCAGGCCATCAAGTCTGCCGGAGGGGAAAGGGTGTTGCCCCATTCGCCCTCTCCTCTCTGGAAAGAAAGATGGCGGCCACATGGGAGCCTTGTGGACAGCAGGTATGAGCCGGGGGTGTGGGGGCGACTAAAACCTCATGGGAAGGGGGGCGTTCCAGTCCGTCCTTCACGCCCTACCGAGGTCACCAGTCACCCCCCACGAGCGGCTCTCCAGCACAGCCACGGCCCCAGAAGCATAAGGACTTAATGCAGAACCCAGCAGCTTGGAGCAGAAAAGTGAACGGACTATGCATTGACCCAGGCCATCAAGTCTGCCGGAGGGGAAAGGGTGTTGCCCCATTCGCCCTCTCCTCTCTGGAAAGAAAGATGGCGGCCACATGGGAGCCTTGTGGACAGCAGGTATGAGCCGGGGGTGTGGGGGCGACTAAAACCTCATGGGAAGGGGGGCGTTCCGGTCCGTCCTTCACGCCCTACCGAGGTCACCAGTTTCCCCCCACGAGCGGCTCTCCAGCACGGCCACAGCCCCAGAAGCACAAGGGCTTAATGCAGAACCCAGCAACTTGGAGCAGAAAAGTGAAAGGACTATGCGTTAATCCAGGCAATCATTTCTGCCCAGAGGGGAAAGGGTGTTGCTCCCTTCCGCCCTCCTCCCTCTGGAAAGAAAGATGGCGGCCACATGGGAGCCTTGTGGACAGCAGGTATGAGCCGGGGGTGTGGGGGCGACTAAAACCTCATGGGAGGGGGGGCGTTCCGGTCCGTCCTTCACGCCCTACCGAGGTCACCAGTTGCCCCCAAAGCGGCTCTCCAGCACAGCCACGGCCCCAGAAGCACAAGGACTTAATGCAGAACCCAGCAGCTTGGAGCAGAAAAGTGAACGGACTATGCATTGATCCAGGCTATCAAGTCTGCCGGAGGGGAAAGGGTGTTGCCCCATTCGCCCTCTCCTCTCTGGAAAGAAAGATGGCGGCCACATGGGAGCCTTGTGGACAGCAGGTATGAGCCGGGGGAGTGGGGGCGACTAAAACCTCATGGGTCGGGGGGCGTTCCGGTCCGTCCTTCACGCCCTACCGAGGTCACAAGTCGCCCCCCGCGAGCGGCTCTCCAGCACGGCCATGGCCCCAGAAGCACAAGGACTTAATGCAGAACCCAGCAGCTTGGAGCAGAAAAGTGAACAGACTATGCGTTGATCCAGCCCATCAAGTCTGCCGGAGGGGAAAGGGTGTTGCCCCATTCGCCCTCTCCTCTCTGGAAAGAAAGATGGCAGCCACATGGGAGCCTTGTGGACAGCAGGTATGAGCCGGGAGTGTGGGGGCGACTGAGGCCTCATGGGAAGGGGGGCGTTTCGCTCCGCCCTTCGCGCCCTACCGAGGCCACCGGTTGCCCCCCGCGAGCGGCTCTCCAGCGCGGCCACGACTCCAGAACACAGAAACCAATTTCTTGACTGTCTGACTTTCGGTGGAAATACTTCCAGGGTCAATAGGTAAAATAGCAGAAATCCAAAACCAACATTTAATTCTTGAACCCAGCTGTAGAAAGCAAATCACTTCACAATGCTTTTTCAGCATGTCTGATTTGGGGGGGGGGGGGGGAAACTCTAAATAATAGTGGTGAATCTTTTATTGAAACAATCTAATCAAAGCGGATAGAGTGTTAACTAGAATTCATCTGCCTCACAGGGACGGGGAGGGGTGGAGGGTGGGGTTTTATTGGGGTTCTTCATGGGAAAAAATAAGTATTGGTAAAGGGAAATGTGTTTGATATTTGCATGACTGAGACATAAACCTGAAAGCTTTGTAACCTTTCCCACAGTGATTCAATAAATAAATAAAAAAAAAATAAATAAAACTGCTGAACGAAATTTTATAAATGTAATGATTTTGATTATAAAATTCAATCTTCTGAAGCTAATGTACTTAAAACTCAGACTTTGAGGATGGAAAATTAGATGTCAAGTTTAAGATTCCAAGAGTATAATCAACATCTAATTAATAATCTCGACAGTCAGTGGAAGGCACATGGCGCTGAGGTGAGGAGGCATAACCTCACAGCTGTCAGGCAAGTGCCTTCTGTATCGGGAAAGCTTCCCTTTTTTACTTCAAAGAAATTGCTTTTCTCATCTGGATTCATACTTGAAGTGATTATTCATTGTCCATGCTGAAGGATAGGAACTAAACCTCCTAGTGTACACAGAACTCAAAATACAATAAACAGCTTTAATCCTCTCAGCATAGAGTGTCTTTAGGTGTTATGTTTAAATTTAATCTGTTGTTATGGCCCAGTGAACTGCATTAATATTGGAGATGTGAGAGGTCAAAGGCTGGACTGTTAGTGCTGGTTGCTGCAGCCCTGCTCGGGCCCCGTGGCCACCCAAGGGTTCCTGCAGCAAGCAGGACTTGGCCCCAGGACTCTGGTCCATGGGCACTTTTCCTTATCCTAAAGCTCAAGTTCTGTCAAAGAAAGCTAAAAAGAACTTGAACAGCACAACATCCCTGTGTTTAAAAATAAAACAACTTTCGGGGGTTGTAAAACCTTTTTGGGAAGGCCAGATTCTTAACTCACTCACTCCTGTGCCTGAGTTGGTCTTTGAGAATCAATAATTTGCCGATGTTATTCTGGAGACAGAGGTAGAAGTCGTGCCTCCCTGTGGCTGGGTCCCAAGCACCCACGATGATAAATGATGTACGCAGTGCGTCCTGAGCCCCGTGACTTAGAGCCGGCTGGCGGGTGCGGCACCCGGGTGCTCTGTGAGCTCCTGCTGCTCACTGCGCCCAGACCCGCCATGGCAGACACTCGGGGTGGGCCCGGCTGTCGGGGTTATTCTAACTCCTGTCTGAGTTCAGCTGAAGAGGAAGATCAGACCGAGGCGAAACTTCATTTCCAAATGGGATAGACGGGCAATTAAGCTGCTGACTGAAGTTCACGGTGGCCTAGTCGAATGGCCAGGGTTACATTGCTCCCCTGACCTCCCCCAACTTAGGGCGAAAGCTCTTAGTGTAAAACCCATCTTAGGAAAGAAGTTTCAAGAAAAATGTTGCTCAGAAAATTGGAGCTCACTAGAATTATCTTGTAATTTGAATATTAAATAAATGACTTTCTACCTCACATTCAGTTTCATCTGCACCGAGTCTTAGCCACTCCTTCCCTATCTGAGATGAAATCAGTTCCTGCATTCACTAAGTAGATTGGGGGAATTTTCAGTTATTCAAAGGCCTTCCCAAAGGTTCTTTCATTTTTTCCCCCTGGCCCAGGGTGTGGTGTCTGTTCGACCTCGGCAATGAGGGGGATTACCCCGTCACCTCACAGGTGCTCAGGGGGCTTCCAGGCTGTACCCACAGAGATGCTCAGAGGTGCCAAGGGGTGGTCACACGTAAGACAGGTGCTTCAGCCCCTGAACTTTCTTGGTCCTCCCAAAAGTTCTTGATGAGATGACTGACAATATCACTAAAGAGTAAATGTCATACAATTTAAATACAATTAAAAACAATTATTTATTTGTGTATATTTACATACACAAACGTATATATTTTCATTTAGGAAATTATATACAACATCTTTCTTTTAGATTTTAAGATAAATGAAAACCATTTAAAGAGAACTAACTCAGTGCAAATTAAGTCTCCCTACTTCTACAAATATGAGGTCCTTTAATCTTCAACCACTGGGAGAAAGACACTATTACTGTTGCCATTTTGTAAGTGAGGAGAAAGAGGCTTAAAGAGGTTCATTTGCCCAGAATTACACAGAAAATAGTGCGGATGGGATTCCAGGAAGTCTGGCTACACCACAGAGATTGTTAAAACAAGCTTTGCCTTCAAGGTTAGAAGATCTAGAAGACCTTATGGCTGATTAAAAAAAAAACTTCCATGCCTTGGACAGACAGACAGGACAGCGGGGTTGGTGCTTGTCTTGCATGCGGCAAACCTGGGTTTAGTTCCAGGCACTCCAAATGGTCACCTGATCCCTTAGCACAGAACCAGGAGCGGGCCTAGCACGCAGGGCATGGCACAGCTCCTAACCCCCCACCCCCAAACTGACACTTAACACTCCAGTGTTCGTGTTCCAGTACGAACTCCACAGGGCTGTGGGAATCAGCACATTATGGAACCTAAGAGACGTCTCAACATGCAACTTACACGTTTATCAATATCACCATGCTGAAGCTGAACAAACCGAGCACTAATGGCAGCAATATAGCTCTGTTGATTGGAGAAAGCGACGCGACCAGCACCTTTTGGGTATTTGAGCTCAGGATCTGTATCAATCCCCGCGTAACAAACGCCACCATACAGCCGGTCCATGATCATAGCAAGTTCCACTTCAAAAGCAAGAGAAGTCCCATTAGAGGCAAGAACAGGAACCAATAATGTTCAAACACGTTTGAAAGTCACAAGTGACTAGATCTATGTTCTTTTCTAAATTGGACTTCCTGTTATATACCAGATTCCATCTGTTCATACCTCAGAAAAAAATCCTTTGATGGCTCTCCCCCTTACTATACCATTACTTTTCCCTCCACATTGGATCATTCCCAATTAAGAGCGCAATTTGTTCCTTTTTGAAAAGAAAATTTCCTCACCCGCTTTGTCTCTCTTGCTGACCACTTCGTTTTCCTCTTTATAGCCAAATGCCTAATGATAAGACTTTGTCTATATTCTCCAACTCCTCTCTGGCCATTCTTAATGCTTAACATTTTATGAAAGACTTTCAGTCCATAACCACGACTTACTAATTCCTGTCAAGGTCACTTTTCGCACTGCCAAGCATAACTGTCCATTTCCTTTTAAAAGCCACAATGAACTTAGTTAATCTCTTCCTTCTTAAAATATTTTCCCGACTGGCTTCCAAGATACAATGACTTTGCTCCTTCTCTTCCTACCCACTGCTCCGTCCTTGTCAGTCTTCCTTTGATGAAGCGTACCCTTCTTCCCCGTTTGGGCTTGCCAATGTCACAGTACCCTAAATGTTAGTCCCTTGACGTCTCTGTACATTTCTGGCTTTGCTCCCTTTATCCCGTGACGGGGCCTGAAGCACCGTTTGTCCTTTTAACTGCTGAATCTTTCTCTCCACACTGGGCCTCTCCCCTGCGCTCCAGGCTCCTTTAGGCCATCAGATGACACACACGGATACTTAACAGACTCTACAGGAATAGGGGGTTCAAAATGGCACCGCTGAGAATGTGCCATCTCAGCTCTGAGAGTCTGCTGCCTGCACCCCTAAACTCGGCCCCACGAGGCCTTGCTGACTGAGTCAAATGGGAAAGACGCGGGTGTCTCAGTCTGGGGACACCTCAGTCTGCTTGTTAGCGGAGGAAGTCCCCCCTAAACAAGCAATCCCCTGAGACTGAATTTTAGGGAATATCCAGATCTGGTAAGATCCGATCTAGACCTTCCATCATTCACATTCTATTTTATGCCATTACTATATTTCATCTGGATTATGGCAATAGCCTTATCCCTATGCTTATGGTGCCCCCCAACCCATAACTTTTAAAAACAGTAGCAAGAATGATTGTTTAAAAAACATACCAGACACCAGTGACTAAAAATTGTTATCTGAACAGTAGAGACTTGCTTTCAAAAAACCATGACACCAGCCTTCCCTTTAATCTGCTTCTTCCCCAGAGCTCCTGAATGTCAGCAAAACGTACCACCGTCTACCTATCTGCTGAAGACTAAATCTCTTTCCAATCACCTCATAAAAATTTGTGTCGTTTTACCACTACCAACACTCATCCAAGCCATTAAGCCAAGCCTTCTGGACTGCAGTAACAGGCCCTTTAACTTGTTTTCCTAAACGTACTCTCAACCCACTGCTCCCCCACCAACTGATCTTTCAAAACTGAAACTCTCATTGCATCTCTACTCTGCTTAACAATTCATTGTCCCATGCTGTAAGGATAAATCCACCTCAGCTCCTTAGATGTATAGGATCCGTCCCCCTTTCCTTCCCTTAGGTTCTTCCTAAGCCCTAATTCTCCCCATCGGGGCATTTTCAGTCCCTCTCATGAACTTCTGTTTCCTTCTTACATCATGCTCCGCTTTGCCTAAACACATTCCACACAACCCTCCTGCAAGCCCAGCTGTTCAATCTTCACCTGGAAGCTCAGACACGAGTGACCCAAGAATATCAGGCTGAGACGGGAGAGATGCTCAGGGGGCTGGAGGCACGCTTGGGATGCAGGAGGCCTCGTGGCCCCCGAACACAGCCAGAAGGGACCCCCAAGCACCTAGCTGGGACCTGCAGGCTGCGGTCCACCCCCACCTCCGGAAAATTCAGGTTCAATCGTATATTCCCCTTCCTCTACGTGCTTCTCTTCCCTGTGTTTTTCTCCCTAACACGTATCATATGTTCTGTACACATTATGTGTGTGAATAGCGCTTTCACATGTGCCTCCCAAACTAGGGCACCCACATGGACGGAAGAAGGCGCCAAGACTCCATCACTAATCACGCTCCTACTATGCCATTTTCTGCTGCCCGTGAATACTTATTGTTTACCTAAAATGCAATTAAAAGACAAATCCACCTTCAGAATCAAGGCATTAGTAAACAGATGAGAAATTCTCATTAATTAGACTTATACTTAAAAAGTCCAATATTTGAGTGGGTTCTTTTCATAACGTTTATGAGGAGTTAGCTATTAAATACAAGCAGATGAGGGTTCAATTTTCCACTCCCTTGTCAATTTGGAGAACATTTCTCTGCACTTGTTTCAGAATTTTGTGGTTAGCAATCACTATTACATAATAGGATTTGTTCTTCTCTGCCCAATAGTGCTGTGTTCACAGTAACTTGCAAATGTTTACCTAATTTCTGTATTTCTTTTCATTTTTTGGTTACTGGGCCAACTTCCTGGTGGTGCTCAGGGGTCTGGATGGAGGGCCAGGGATCAAACCCAAGCTGGCCACTCCAGCCGGTCAAGTGCCCTCCATGCTGAACTATCTCCCCAGCTCCCTAATTATTTTTTCAAAGAAAATTTGTTAGCATTCTACTTACCAGCTCTTAAAGGCCTAGGTACACCTCCAACAAAAATTGTTTTTCGAGGATCCAAAGGTTGAGAACCATCCATCACAAAATCACTATCACTTAAATTCCAAGGACGGATCTGAACCTATAAAGAAAATGTTATCATAGCACTTGTATCACTCCTTAGTTTGATGCCATTTTCTAGCAGTTAACAACACTCATTTATTGTGCAAAAATCTGGACAGCTGAATTTGAAAAATTTTTTATATACATACTACAAAATAACTGTTTTTAGAAACTGAACAATATAGTACTTTTAATTTTTTTTCACTAAATCACAGTTACAATTTTTGGAAAAATCTGCATTTATAGCTGAAGGCTCACACATTTTACTTACCGGTTTGTCCTTGATAGTAGGGCTGGAAACACACAGATAGAGTTTTCCATCTTCTTCAATACAAGCGTCAATTAATGCCTGAACTGAGCTTTCTTCTTGAAAGAGAAGGAATGCATAGCCTATAATAACCATTAAAAAGAAGGCAATGTGTTAAATGACTTAAACTCAAATTTCAGTAGTTTAGAAAATATCTACTTTTAAAAAAGAAAAAAATGTATCAAATAGGACTACAATCATACTTTTCATCGAACTAAAAAGACAAAAAACATGAGACAAACTTAAAAAGTATTATTAGCTCCTTTATAGAGAGCACTTACTACCCAATACTGAGCTGAGAGGTTTTATAGAAGGCATCATTATCACTACTACTATTGTTTGGGGGCCACCTCTGCACCAGGCAAATGGCCGACCAATGGCTCAGGGATCACTCCTGGCAAGCTTAGGGGACGATATGTGGAGCCACGGATTTAACCAGGGTGGTTCGCAGGCGAGGTACTGTGCTGTGGTGTAGGAATGGTTTCATCATTGGATTTTCATACGTGGTCTTTTGTTTGCGTTTGTGTCACACCTAGCGGCACTCAGGGCTTACTCCTCGTCTTGTGGCTTAGGATCACTCCTGGTCGGCTAGGGGGACCACACGCAGTGCTGGAGGATCAAACCAGGGTGGCCATGTGCAATACACATACCTGAACCAACCCTCCCTCCCTCCCTCCCTCTCTCTCTCTCTCTCTCTCTCCCTCTCTCTCTCGCGCGCTCTCTCTCTCTCTTCATCATTCCAATTTTAGGGAAGAAAACCATGAAGAGGCCTTGGGTCAACTACTTCCCTAAAGTCCGTCACATAAGCATGTGGTGGTTGGATAATTTCAAACCAGGTTGACTTAAAGTTTCCTCTGTTCTTCTTGGAAGTGACACGTTTAAAGAAAGTGGCAGAATAAACCAGTTGAGGAGGTTAGGAGAACATTAGGGGAGTACTAGGAGCTGAAGTTTCCTACAGATACTCTCAAATACAGAGGGCACACTTTATGATTGTAGTACACTAGAACAGCCCAGGAACTTTTAGATGTAGAAGGAACATGCCATAGTAGATCTGATAACTTCCAAGTGATACTAAGAAAATTCCTTTAGGTTGGAATATTTCAAGGTGGGTCAGACATTATAAACTGGATCAATCTGTGTAAGGAGCAGGGCTATGTCTGAATTTTGGATATAAACTCTTGCTTACAGTGCTTTTGGGAAAAAATGCCCTTTCTTCTTTCTGATTGACAATCAAAAGCCAATCTTTAATCACAAATCACATATCCCACGGGTGGAAGAGAGCTCATTGTGTTTATATGACATCATATAAAGACATCAAGAGTATGTTGCAAATGCACTGTTCTGTAAATACCTCCCTTCCCCCTTAACAAGATCTTTAGAGAAAGAAGCCTGGGACACGCCCAGAAGGAAGTCGCTACCACCCTGTGGATCTGCCCAATATGAAGGGCAGAGTCCGAGGTCACTGAAGGGTACAAGGCCACACAACTTTACTGACAACGACGGCTGCTCCGGTGCAATGCGATGCAGAACTACTCTGTTTCAATAAAATTAGGGGATTGGTATAAGCAGGCCATCAAACTAACCTACACAAATAGGAAGTTCCAAAGGTCTGACAAATACAAGATTAAGAATCTTAGACCTCTCTTTAAGTGCTAGAAAAAAATTTAAATATACTCTGGAGCGATAGCACAGCGGTAGGGTGTTTGCCTTGCACGCAGCCAACATGGCCGACCCGAGTTCGATTCCTCCGCCCCTCTCGGAGAGCCCGGCAAGCTACCGAGAGTATTCGATATGCCAAACACAGTAACAACAAAGTCTCCAATGGAGATGTTACTGGGCCCGCTCGAGCAAATCGATGATCAACGGGAGGGCCTTTATACTCTTCAAATAATAAAGGTTTGTTTTTTAAATGGTATCTTTAATTTTGATACTAGCTAAGAATCTGAACTGTAAGAATTTCGCAACTGTTGAAAGGGCTTAAGGTCAATTTACTAAAAAACAGTATTTTAAAATATTCTGTAATATTAACTTTGTAATATTAATTTGAAAATATTTTAATATTAAACATGGGTAAAAACCCATGTTTAATAGGATGTGCTGAATTTAAACATTGTGGACCCTGTTCTGCTCTTCCGTGGAAGAAAATGAGCTACAGTTGTGAATGAGACATGATATGCCTGTCAGAAATTTTCCATTTTAAAAGTGTGAGTAAAATTGATGGTTACTGTAACCACAAACTATGTTAAATAATTTGTGTTTGATGACTATAGATCTGGATAGCCAGAACTCCAGTCAGGATAAAAAACCTTTCTAATCATCCAGAAAGTTTCCTTCTATCACCTCATATAATCATTTAATAGCTACTATATTTGTGATTTCTATCACTGTAAATGATTTTGCCTGTTTTGAAATTCATAAAGAAATATATGACATGGGCTGGGGCAATAGCACCGCGGGTAGCGTATTTGCCTTGCATGCAGCCAACCCTGGTTGGATTCCTCTGTCCCTCTTGGAGAGCCCGGCAAGCTACTGAGAGTATCCCGCCCACTCAGTAGAGCCTGGCAAGCTCCCCGTGGCATACTTGACGTGCCCTAAACAGTAACAACAAGTCTCACAATGGAGACGTTACTGGAGCCTGCTTGAACAAATCGATGAACAACGGGAGGACAGTGCTAATATTTTAATATTGCTAATTTTCAGTTGATATTAAATGTTAAATACTACTTTTTTTGCAATAATCAGAAAAAAATGTGAAGAAATGTTTGTTTTACAGAAGTTAAATAAACATGGCAGGTAAATTAAGATCTAGCTAAGGCTAGGCACTAAAATTAACATACCATTTTAAACCTTATTAAAAGAAAGCTAATACACAAGGAGGACTTCATTCACAATGAAGAAAATGAAAATTTATGTGTGGCTCAGAATCTGAAAACCCCATCACTGCCAAGTGAATGTGTCTACGACAGTGTTTCCTAAACTATGGAAAACGAGGGAGGAATCACATCCATGAACAAGGTTTGGCAATTCTAGTCTTTGGCAACAGCTACAATTAAGCGTAATTGCACCAACAGACAAATAACAAAAAGCCAACTAACGTTTACCAGAGCCAAATCTTATTTTGTTTGCTCGAGAAAATAAACCAACCACCACAAAGACCACGATGACAACAAAGACGGCAGTCACAGCAGCAGAGGCACCAATTATTCAATTTCCTTCCCCTGGGAAGGTAGGGGCTGGTGCAGGCTTGCAGGCGCGAGGCAGGGGCAGGGCTACAGGACACGCTGCCATCCTAGCACTCACAGTGCTGTGGGCACAGACCACAGAGACTCAGGGGACAGAGGGACTGGGGAGGGGGAGAATTGAAATGGACATTTTTACTGAACACTCAAAAGTCTTTGTTAAGAGACAGGCATTAAAGCTGTAAAATAAGACTAAAACTAAGTCCACAACTATATGTCTGTATCACACTGAAGTTAGTTTTCTACACCAGAGGTTCCCAGATTTATTGGCTTACCGCTCCATTGTGAGAAAGAATGCCCTCAGCATCTCCCTGGAAGCCCACCTTCTCTATGGGCACTAACAGTAAGCACCCCTTTCATTGCCCCTGGGCCCACCCCCGGGGGTCATTCTGCACCCCTGCCTCCTTTCTGGAGGCGAGGGGCAGGTGGGCTCGGCTGCCTGAAGAGACTGTTCTAAGCCAAGGAGCCAGGAACTCCAAATCCTAGTAAACCCAAAACCACGTGAAAATTTCGAGTTTATGACATAAATCCATAGTACTAAAAAGAACTTCATACAGCCCTGGAACCCAGAATCTCACTCAAAAGTTCTTCTTGATCCCATGCAAACATATGATCAAAAGGCATAACTGAAAAAAAAATCACTCCAAATTCAGTTTCTCTAGACATGAACAAATAATGAACAAATAATCTTGGTGAGAGAAAGTAGCTATGATGCATATAATCATCAGAAATCTTGTGTCAGTTTTGTGTGTCAATAATTCATCTAACACATTCCTTTCCCAGTGCCAAGTCCGACTAACTGGTCTCTCAAGAGTCTTTTAGCATATTTAACTCAGCCATGAAAATAGTACATATTTTTTCTTTCCTAAAATTTCATTTCGGTTTCCAACACTGTAGCCTGTGGCTCTCTTTGGAGAGCAGCTGTCAGCGCACTCCCTGGACTTAAGGCCTTCCGAGCTTGCTGCAGGAAGGGGACTCGTCCTCTCTTGCAAGGGGTCTGCTTCGCTCTAATGAACATTAGCATGATCTGTGATTCTTACACTCCAGTGACGGGCGACTACGGTCAGTGTTCTAGAAAATGTGATTAACAAAACTAGTCTTCTCATCACAATTCATCTCTTTGTGTAACTTTTCTGACTAGTTACTTTTTCGTTCCTGTCTTTAAATTTACCAATGGGGTACAGATCCCTCACTTGCTACCTATATTCTATTGTCTGGAACTCTTAGGTAATTCTTCCGATTATGGGGTTAGCCATTCGCATTTCATATGGACATCAATTGCACTACGCAATCTGTACCCAGATATCCTAGAACGAATTACTGTCAGACTACACAAACCCAAACATTTATTAAATTGAGGAGCTGAGACCATCATTAAATCACTAAAAAGAAAGCAGAGTTTCTTATTCTTGGTTAGCTTAAAATAAAATCTGAGTAATTCTCAGGATCTATCTACAAATTATGAGTTTTTATGTAAGAGATGTGTTTATGCTCAATTCTACAAGAAAACACAAAGTAAGTAATATTGTCTCTTTTGCTCATAAAATTAATTCCTGGGTAAACAATAACAGAAACCCCGTTAGGTCGTGGGGAGCAGCCCAACAGATGAGAGCAAAGCTCTGGGCACAGGTGCCTAGTGTGATGGCAGCCCTGCCAAACGTGACCCTCAAACAATGAACAGCTTCACTGCACCTTGGTCAGCCCCCAAATAAAACAAACAAAAACTCACCTTTTGGTGGGAAATAGGATTTGCTTTCTGCTTTATGAGGCCAATCTACTACCAAAGGTCCGAATCTTCTGAAGCTAGCAGTTATTTCATCTTTAAATAAGTATGACATAAAGAATTATTTTAATGATTCATTTAAAATTGTCACGTTAGTTAATTTTTAAGCTTCCATAGTCAAAACTGCAAACAGCCTAAGATAAACTACAGTGTAGGTACTGAAAGTATAACTAATGCCCTTAATTAAAAGAATACATAAAATTACATAGCTATTTTAATTAAAAATTCATCTTAAAGTATACATTAGCAAGAAAAATCAATTCAGTAAGACTTCCAATGAATTTATATTATACTAATAATAGTGGGTTGGAGCGATAGCACAGCGGGTAGGGCGTTTGCCTTGCACGTGGCCGGCCCAGCCTAGCCGGGTTTGATTCCTCCACCCCTCTCGGAGAGCCCGGCAAGCTACCGAGAGTATCTTGCCCACCCGACAAAGCCTGGCAAGTTACCTATGGTGTATTCAATATGCCAAACAGTATTCAATATTCAATTTGGCATATATATTCAATATGCCAAACACAGTAATGACAAGTCTCAAAATGGAGACGTTACTGGGCCCGCTAGAGCAAATCGATGAACAATGGGAGGACAGTGTTTGTGTTTTTAACTGGGCTGGAGTGATAGCACAGTGGGTAGGGCGTTTGCCTTGTGCGCAGCTGGCCCGGCCAAGTAGGGTTCAATTCCTCCACCCCTCTCGGAGAGCCCGGCATGCTACCAAGAGTATCTCGTCGGCACGGCAAAGCCTGGCAAGCTCCCCGTGATGTATTCGATATGCCAAACACAGTAACAAGTCTCACAATGTTACTGGGCCCGCTCAAACAAATCGATAAACAACGGAAGGACAATGAGGACAGTGACAGTGACTAATAATAGTGCAATATCACAAATATTACTCGTATAAGAAAACATTCCAATATTCTGTCAACTTAAATAAATACATTACTGCTTGCTAAGCAAATTCATGTTAAGAAAGAAAAGTACTGAAACAAGGTATAAAAATTTACAGTACTCATAAGATATATATTCCAGAGAGAAAATATATCTAGGTCAAAACCTTATTATAATACCTATTATAATACTTATTATAAATTTATTATAATGCTTAACTCTTTGAAAACGTTTATATTTATTTTAAATTATAAAAAGAACTCCCCAAATGTAACAATGTTTTTTTTCAAATTGAATCACTGTGAGCTACACTTATAAAGTTTTCATGTTTGAGTTTCAGTCATACAATGATCGAACATCCATCCCTCCGCCAGTGTACATTTTCCACCACATGTCTCCAGTATCCCCACCCTCCTCCCCATCCACCTCTCCCCCTGCTCCTATGGCAGGCAGTTTCTCTTACTCTCTCTCTACTTATGGGCATTATGGTTTGCAATACAGATACTGAGAGGTCATCATGTTTGGTCCTTCATCTACTTTCAGCAGACATCTCCCATCCCAAGCAATCCCTCCAACCATTATGGATTTAGTGAATATCTTGTTTATTGGTTGTAAATTCCAGATGTCCCACAAATCATAAAAGTATTGGATATTTTCAGTATTTTAAAGCTATATCTTGAATTGCTGTGGAGCGATAGCACAGCTGTAAGGCGTTTGCCTTGCGCACAGCCCACCCGGCCGAGCCGGGTTCGATTCTTCTGCCCCTCTGGGAGAGCCAGGCAAGCTACCGAGAGTATCTCGCCCGCATGGCAAAGCCTGGCAAGCTACCCTTGACGTATTCAATATGCCAAACACAGTAATAAGTCTCAAAATGGAGACATTACTGGGCCCGCTCGAGCAAATCGATGAACAACAGGAGGACAGTGACAGTGTTCATCTTGAATTAGTGTTAATATTATATGTATCATTTTTACATATGTTCTTAGCCTATTTGTATAACTTAAGTTTTTGATTAATGTTCTTTCTTGTCATTTTTTTTTTTGCATTTTAGTGTCTGAGTTATTTCCTTATTCTTAAAAATGTTAAATTTTGGCTTATATACTGCAGGTAGAATTTCATAGCTGAATACCTTTACTTCATTTGTATGTCTTATAGTCTCATAAAAAGTTTTCAAGTTCTACATAAATATGAAAATGTAAATGATCTTATGCATTCAAAAATTTTTCATATTTAAAAAGTGGGATTTTGACACAGGGTATGAAAATATTTACCAAAAAAGCCTGAGTCAACAATATACATAAGATAAAAAAAGAAATACACTTTGAAAAAGTCGAAGAACTTTCTTTGTACAGTTACTTCCATGCTTTAATAAATGAAAAAAACTTATTTAAAGAGATGGGTATCTATTCTAATGGAAAATCTCTACAAAGGTTGCATAGCTCTGTTCACATTTCAGGTTTTCCCTTTTTAAGCCCACATCTCCACTTTACCTTCATCAATATCTGGAGGGAGACCACCAACAAAAACTTTTCGAGAGAAGCGTTCTATTCGCTCTCCATTCTGGTGAGCTGAGTAGCATGTGGGTGAGTTTAAAACGCCAACTTGGTCATTGTGACTGTCATCCAGCAAGCCGTCATCTATGGGGAAGAGGGAGGAACGACCTAAAATATAAGAACAAATGAACCCTAAATGCCAGGTAAGAAGATGCTGGATTAAAGATAATCTTTAGAAGAAAAAATAGTGTGATGAACTCAAAGACATAAAAATGGAAGGTGACAATGGCATAAAAATAGTAAGGGAAATTCAGAAAGTTTAAGGTCTGAGTTACAAGGAGTCGAGAGGGAAGCAGTGAATGGAATGACAGTCCTATGACAATGCTTATACCACCAACAAACACCGAATCACTTCAATTCCTTTATGAAAAGCAGCGAGAATCTAATGTGGACAGCTAAACTAAATGTGGAATAGGAGAAGCCTTGTAGAAACAGGTGGCCAGAAAGGAAATGCAGACCAAATATGTTGAGAGAACATAAAAACCACTTTCCGATTCTGCTCAGAGCAAAGGCAGCATTTTGCACTTAGGAAACTGAATTAATTTATCATAAGCGTCAATGATCTAAAAGGGTAGGACGAGATTTGGACAGATGTGCAAACAGAACAAAGGCCTCTTCTCTCAGTCCCATCTGGGCCTGTCTAGCAGGCACGCACCCGCCTACAAATCACACGCTCTGCCCCTTCCTGCAGAAAGCCTTATGTTTGACTCAAAATGACAAATTAAAGTCCAATAAGATGATCTAATTTAAAATAGTTACCTGTGCTCAAGAAAGGAAGCAAACTCCTCTGAAAGGGAAGGGGCATTCTGACTCATTCTTGGGGTAATTTTGTCAGTTCCCCAGGAAAGTTGGACAGCTTTTGGTACAAAAAGAAGGCAGCATTGCTTACTGACAGCATTAGAGAGGCTAGGGCAGTTAAAAGTAGAAATACTGGCAATTTTATTATTTTGAATGAAGATCTCAAGTGGAAGGAGAAAAAGAGAAAGGTAAAATGAATTCAAGAAAAGGAGTTCAAGCTGCCTGAAACATGTGAAACAAGAGGAGAACAAAAGTCAGCAAAGCACGCTAAGGCTGGCCCATGCTTAGACTGGAGACTTAAGTTACTGCTCTACTTAGTACACGATGACAACTGCACACAGGCTGCTCCAAAACCACACGCGGGGCATTCAGAGCAACATCAGATCTTTGCTATTGGTAGAAGGACTGGACATGAGCAGGTTAGTTCTTTTAAAAAATTAGGAAGGATCGGACAATGCAGGTAACAGAGTAAAAGGACCTGGGGAATAAAACAGAAAAAAGGAAAAGAAGAAATCAAAGTCAAGTTTTAGAATCATTAACTAAACCACTAAGAATCCTTAAGTAGAACACATGGGCCCCTGGAAAGACCCCCTAGAGTTGGGGGGGGGCGTGTGCACAATCCAATGTGGCCTATTACCTGCCCAAATAAAAAGAATCAATGACTAAGCTTTAAGGACAGTAAAGACCAGAAACTGTCTCAAGAAAGAAAAGTTCTGAGATATGTAACATTCCAAATGCAGATAGGAAGTTTAGAAGAGAATGCATGGCAGGAAGTTGCAAATGATATAGGAAAGGAAACAGTTTGGAGTTAAAAAAAAGGAAAAAGAAGTTTTTATACAAATATAGGAAACAGTGGGCACTGGAGAGGTAGTACAGCGGGTAGGTAGGCGACTTGCCTTGCATGCGGTCAACCTGGGTTTTGCCCCCCGCACCCCACATGGTCTAACCCTGCCAGGAGTAATCCCTGAGAGCAGAGCCAAGAATGAGCCCCGAGCACCGCCAGGTGGGTTTCCCACTCCCAATATATTTAGAAAAAGAATTTGGAATTGACTTCAGAGGTTTAAGTTTCTTTATTATATCACCAAAGAGAATATGAAACCAGAGAAATGAAGAGACCAGCTCTTTATATGAAAACATCAGCAAGAAATAGAAGATTGACAGAGGAAGGCAAGGGTAGTGTAGAGTCAGAGGGAAGCCAAAATATTGTGAAAGGGCACCAGAAAGAAAAAATACAGAGCAGTGAAGTCACAGGGAGAAAGTCAGTGTGATTTCCAAATGAAAAATGAGGATGGAGTCACTGCAGTGTATTTTGGAAAGCACAGAGATCAAAAGAAAATGACTCTTTAGAAGTTTATTAGAGAAGGGAAAAGAAAGTTGTTTTCTCTTCAAGATGCGGTCAAGAATTGTATTTGGATAAGACAAAGCATATAATCTACAACATGTGTCTTAACAGATACAATAAATATTCAACATCAAAAATGTCATTAATATTTTATCATCCTGAAAAATGTTACGCATAATGATGCAAGAGATATAAATTAAGACCATACGGAATGGCGGCATACATAAAACAGCAGTTGGGAGGAGAAAGGGAAATTATAACAAGGATAATAGCTAGAGGTTGAAAGAACTTGAAGCTTGCTAGATACAAAACATAGAGAGAAAAATATTTCGTTTAGGAAAACAAGAATTACCTACAGATTGAAATTCAATTTAAGTCAGCTATTGTGAAAGATGTCAATGTTCACTGAGTAATTTAGTGGATAATCATTTAACTTTCCCATAATACCTTAGCTAAAGGTGCCAATGAAAAGACAAATAGCACTAAATTTTTGTGATCAATAGAAATGAAATTTTTCAAAATAAAACTACTGTAGTTAAGAAAATGAACTTCATTCAAAACTCATTAAAATAATGTTAATTATTAGTAACTGGTTCAACTCTACATTGTAGAGTAAGCGAATGATTCAGTATTTTAAGAAGGACTATGATGAGGCAGAGAAACAGCATGAATACTACTTACAACTAGTTCCACTTAAAAGATTTGACAAACCTCTTTTTTATTATGACAATACTGTGGAAACTATTTTACTATAAAATGTCCTAATACATATAAAATGTAATAATCTCATATATTAAACTCTTCCTAACATATCACAATTAGGTTTGCAATGAAAATACTGAAAGTAGTGATAAAGAAAATCATTACATGTCAAAGTGACCCCAAAATCACTTGAACTTTTTATGTTAACTATAATATTCTAAATTTGTAACTACATTCAATTAATCTACTTTAATAAACTATAACAACATTCTAACTATAATAAAGTTGTTAAAATAACCATCAAAACTCTAGAAACCCAAATGTCTATAAGCCAAAGGTTAGCTGAAAAAGGATGTAATAGAAAAGCTGACAACATCACGTACTGTAACTACAACTGCAAGAAATTTCACTGCTGAAAAGAATAATTTTCTTTGAGAAGGACACAAATGCCACTAATCAGCAACAGTGCACAGAGAAGTCAGGGAGATGGCCAAGTCGGAGACTGGTACCAACGCCCTTCCTCCCCCCCAAGCTCCCAAGTCTCATGGGGTCGCACCGTATCACCAGCCCAACACAGAACCATAAAGCTTGGTTCGCTGAGTATCTCCAGAAATCCATAAAGGGAGGAGCCCCAAAACAAAACAAACAAAAAAACCCCCAAAAATGGAAGTTAACCGAGCATATATCATCAACTTATCCTGCCAATGAACTATACATACAACCGAAAACGAGTATGAAAGAATCTCTAAATTACATCTTCTAAATACTTCTGACTACTAAGTATACCCAAAACAAGCATTCTAAGAAAAACATACAGCCATTTAGAACATGAAAATGATTGGCAATTAAAATTATATGGACAGGGAAAAGCAGAAACTAATTAAAAATGATTTGAACTAAAATATTTACAATAGTTTTCAACAAACATTAAGTTATCTTTCTTTTCACTCTGAAATTAGGGTACATATTCTTACACTTAAAAATGATGAAACTAGATAATGAAAATAATACAATATCCAATCTGTGAGATAGAGCCAAAAAAGTATATATGAGAAATAATTCCATACATAAAAAGAAAATTTATAGTTTTAAGCCTACATAAAAATATTTCTGAAAAGTAAATAATCCTAGTTTCTGTCCCCAAAAGATAAATATGAAGAATAAAATGAAGAAACCAGATGATATATAAAAGAGATTGACAAAATCCAGTTGCCTCTCTGAAAACTTACAAAACAATGTCTCCTAAGCAAAATTCATCAAGAAAAAAGCTCATATCACCAATATTAAGTATGAAATATAGAACGCATGAATATGAAAAAGCTAAAAAAGGACTATTATTCACAAGTTATTCTAACAAATTTAACTAGAAGGAATAAAATCTTTGAAAAATGTATTTCTAAAAACAGGTATAAGGGGAAAAATATAGAGAACTAAGTACAAATATTCAAAAGCAGACACGGAAGTGAAGTATCATATCGATTAAATAAATCAAATCTATAACCTAAGAATGAGTCATGAATCTTCCCACAAAGAAAACTCCAGGTTACATGGTTTTACCAGTAAATAAACCAAACTTCTGAGAAGAAAAAGAACTGCAATTTTGGAAGGGAGTAAAAAAACTGTGATCTTACACCATACAAAAATTTAAATTTAAGGAGGGTCATATATGGACCTATGTTAGAAAACCTAGAATTTTTGTTTGATATTTGAATCAGAAATGACCTCTAAGGACCACAATGTACAAATGAGCAAGGAAAACAACTAGACTTCAATCATAATGAAATACTGTGCTGATTACTCAGACTTGGTGTTAAGTGAAAAACAAGGAACCGATAGAAATTAGGACACAATGGACGATTCTCAAAAAATTAGAAATTGAGCTCCCATTTGACCCAGCAATACCACTCCTGGGAATATATCCCAGAGAGGCAAAAATGTATAGTTGAAGTGACATCTGCACTTGTTTGTTCATTGCAGCACTCTTTACAATAGCCAGAAACTGGAAGAAACCTGAATGCCCAAGAACAGATGACTGGTTAAAGAAACTTTGGTACATCTACACAATGGAGTACTATGTAGCTGTTAGAAAAGATGAAGTCATGAAATTTACATATAAGTGGTACAATATGGAAAGTATCATGCTAAGCGAAATGAGTCAGAAAGAGAGGGATAGACATAGAAAGACTGCATTCATCTGGGGGATATAAAGTAACAAAGTATGAGATTAATACCCAAGAATAGCTGAGATCAGCACCAGGAGGATTAC